TTTCCTGCTACTTGTTATTCTTCTCGAATTTTGAGATAGCGATTCGGTTGCGTCAGGAGACAAATGAATTCACTTACCAATCTTGACAAAAAAAATTCAACGCAATAAAGACGTGGTTTTTCTAGAGGGAAAATATCGCATTCGATACTGATATCGAAATTGTACTTGAATGCGATATTTTTCCTCTTAAAAAACCACGCCTTTATTACGTTGAATTTGTGTGTCAAAATTGGTTAGTGAATTCTTCAGTCTCCTGACAACGGAAGTGCGATCTCAAAATTCGAGAAAAAGACGAGTAGCTGAAAAGATGTAACCAATTGACGCGATCGATCGCATGTCGTTTTAACACAAAATATGGCGTCTATCAAATCACCTTAAGTATTATTCCTTGCGTAAAATTTTGCGAGAAACACGATGATGCCACTAGTTATCTCTAAAACGAACTCTAAAGCTCAAAAAAGCTCAAAAAAAGCTCTCAAAGTCGAGGTCTTAATTCAGCTAGGGGCTGCACGTTCCACGCTATCTTTAATTTCTATATCAAGTCAAACGTTATAACAAAGAAAATGAGCAAATACATAAACAGGGTTGATACATTGTTTGGAGACTCCAAAATTGAAAACACGCAACCCTGCTAATGCATTCTCTTTCTATCTATGCACAGAGAGTATGACTAGATATCGAGGTGGATTCTGACGTACTATGAGATATCCCCTCCATTACGGCTACAACTTTGAGAGATTTTTTTTTTTTTGAGTTTTGGAATTTTTCCAGAGAAGACCGATATGTGCTTCCTAGAAAATTTGACAAAGGAATTAGCACTTAAATCACAAATTCCTGACGCATGCAAGAGCTCTATTCACTTCACATACATGACCTTTTGCTTTTAATTGGAAAAGTGCGACATAGGAGGGCAGTCATTGTGAGTTTTGCGTGCAATCGTAAAAAGCCAAGGCAACTCATCAGTAACAAATTGTTCCTGCACCGCAGCAACTTTTTTTGACCTGAAAAGTTAGAATGCCCTAAAGTCTAATGTAGATTGTAAAGTCATAAGTGAATTTTAGTCATCTTTGCAGTTCTCGTCGAGAGTTTTGAGCTATCTAAAGACTAACTGTTAATTGTGCCCCAGCAAAAGTTGGGGTGTGAAAAAATAAATTGGTGGTCGGCTCTCGGAAACGAAAAGGCCGCTGCAAACTAATATACTTAAATTTTTCATAAAACAACGTCTGATGACTCGTCAAACGGGAGTATGCTGATGTAAAATTTGTTAAAACACACTAAAATAACCGGAGCTCTGCCTAAAATTATTCTCCAGTTCAAAAAAGAGTCTCTAGAATATGTCCAAAGTGTATTCTCTGAACCACGTGAGAAGTTTCAAGGTTCAGAGTTATTTTTCCGCTATTTTAATGTGTTTATCGTGATCTTAGTCAATGCGCCATTTAAACAAAAAACTGTTAAAAAATGTAATGTCAGGTCATAATCGGCCAGTTGCGCTGGTCACGGGATCGTGTTTTGATGCTTGACTCTTGTAGATTAGCTACATATAATTCTGATTCATCAAAACAGCAACTTTCTACGTGCAAAATTAACCGAGATATCGCGCTTCGAAAAATTCGGTTTACGACGTCATCCACCGCGGTAGTGACACCCTTGATTTCTTCCACTTTGATTTCATCAGTCGGTGTGACGCACATTTGCACTGGTTATGGTTACTCAACGTGAAACGCGGATCAATGCAAGGTGAAAGAAACCAAGGGTGTCATTACCGCGGTTGATGACGTCGTAAACCGAATTTATCAAAGCACGATATCTCGGTTAATACTGAGCGTTGAAAGTTGTTGCTCGGACAGAATGCGCTAATATACGTTCCACGCCGACTGTCTAACTGACTGCACTGCTTTTGGCGCAATGCGAGAAGTATCCATGCAGTCTTGTAGGCGCTAAGATGCGGCTCACGCCGATCCTTCTGTTTGACACAATGCGTGTAGTATTTCCAGAGTCTTGCACAGAATGCGCTAATATACGTTCCACGCCGACTGACTGCACTGCTTTTGGCGCAATGCGAGAAGTATCCATGCAGTCTTGTAGGCGCTAAGATGCGGCTCATACCGATCGCACTGTTTGGCGCATATCATTCATTCGAGAATCGAGATTCACGTTGAGTAGCCAGTGCAAATCACAAGATGGATTAGACCAAGGGTGTCACCACCGCGGTGGTTGACGTTATAGACAGAATTTTTCAAAGTGCAAGATCTCGGTTGATACTGAGCGTAGAAAGTTGCTGCTTGGACAGATCTGATTCTTTTTAGCCAATTAACATGAATTACACGTCAGAATACGATTCTATGACCAGCGCAACTGACCGATTGACCCATTCCCCCACGGTTCAGTGACCCGTTCTCCGAAGATCGATGTGGCAATTCTCCTCTCCTGCCCTACCTGGAGACACTACAGCGGAGACCCCGAGGTGCAGAAGAGAGGATCGAGAGTCGGCTTTCGAGAAGAGGAAGTCAATAAATCGGGCTCTCGGAGGAATAGCCGAAGCGGGCGCGGGGTACGGGGCCAGCGAATGGGCGCACAGTAGATCGAGTCAATCAGAGAGGTCGGACACGAAATTTTTGACTAAAACTAAAACTGTTGATGTTGATTTCGTCGTATTTTAAATTTTAAGGGTCACTTCGAGTAGAAAATTTCACGAAAAAACCAATGGAACCACTTTCACAATCTCAAAGTTTGGTATAAAATGAGTTACACTGAAAATAAATTCTCGGCATTTTTACCACGGTCCGTTGGTACCTTTACCATCTCACTTTATTTACCAATTATTGGTAATTTTACCAAGACAGACTGGTAAGCTTACCTAAAAACCGGTATTGTTACTGTTTTTTTCAGGTACGAATACCACTTTTATTGGTTATCAATTCCCGGTAACTTTGCCATTTTATCTCGGTAATTCTACCACAGTCGATAAAAAATATTGGCGTTTTTACCAAGGTCCAGTAAAATTACCGAGAAAGTTCAATAATTTTACCGATATTTCTCGGTAAAATTACCAATTCCATAAATGGTAATTTTACCAAGAAAAAACTGGGATCAAATATAACCCTGAATTCTTGGTGATTTTACCCTTTTCTTAGTAAATACACCGAGATTTTTTTTCAGTGTATGAGCTATGGAAGTTTCCGGATTTTGTCCGAATTGTCCTATTGTCTCGATCCGTTGTGCGACGCAGGGCCGGGACCGGGAGGAATTGGCCGGGGAGATGGATGTGACCGGTGCATGCAACACATTAATCAAAGGATCCTACCGAGCCTCAAAACCACCCGCTCCGCTAAATACCTTCTCCGCTCCCATTATTCCCTGTCCGCGTTGCCGGGCCGCCATCGGGTCTTTTGCCAACTTTTCCCCTCGCCAAAGGAAATGTTGCTTCTCGTCGGGGAAAAGTTGAAAAACATAGAAAAACAGTGAAATCAACAGGCGCGTGGCAGATTTTTGCCAGCGCGATAATAAATCGGAAGGGTCAACAACATCCTAGAATCCACGATCGAACAAATAGGCGCCTACAAACCTAAGGGGATACTTCAAGCATTGCCCAATGCGTGAAGTATCCCCTTAGGTTTGCAGGTGCAAATCGACGGTGCAAGTCGGCAATCACATAACTCGTTTGCGGTGTCTGAAAATCTCCGCAACTATGTTATTTTTTTAAAGGAGAACAAATGGACATGATTCATTGAAGTTTTTGCAGAATTTTCCTCGCACATAGAAGAAAAATCACGGCAGTTTTAAAGAATTACCGTTGAGTGGTTTTCCGTTTAAAAAATAAAGTATGACAGGAAGTCTGCGACGTCGCAAAAAGAGTTATGTGATTGCCGACTTTCACCGTCGAAATGCGCGTTTTGCACAGGCCGGCAGCTCACAGAACCACAAGCAACTATTTCACAACAGAGGTGCTGCACAGTATCATACGAAATTGAAGGCGCTCCAACTTATTAAGCATGACTGGCAAACTTTCAGAGTACAGAGCTTTCCTCACAAAATAAATCAAGATACTACGGCAAAGACAAAAGTACACGGGCAGCCCAAAAGAAATGGAAAAAGCAATATGTTATCCTGTTATCACTGCAGTCTTTCATCACCATGTAACGCCGTGCTGGTCTCATTTGATTTTAAATTCTTTTTTATTTTTGTACTTTTTTAGCGGTCAATAATGGTCTCGTGAGACATCGAACCGTCCCGTGTTTTTTCATGTATCTTAGCCTTGATTCCCCGATCCGAAGATCGCCGTTTCTGCGGAAAGCCGTCGAAATTGTTTTCCCTTAGTAGTGCATCAAAATGGGTCAGTTGCACCGGCCACAGAATCGTGTTTTGGTGCTTGATACTTGTAGATTAATAAGATAATCCGCACAGCCGTTTTCATGAAAGAAAATGAATTACTCAATTTTTTACTAGTTGATGTGGCTAAGTTCTTCTCTGCCTAGCGCGGTCCGAATGTGTCTCACTAAACGTAGAGCACGATTCGCGCAAAGGAAATAACTGATATCAACTCTGAACGAAGATAATAGCGCTTTTATTTAGGATCGGACACGAAAAATTGTCTCGCTAAACGTAGAGCACGATTCGCGCAAAGGAAATAACTGATATCAACTTTAAACGAAGATTTTTTTTTTTTTTTTTTATTTTTTTTATTTTTTTTTTTAGAATGGTAACATATTTTATTTGTTTCTTTTATTACAAATTGGAATCGGGCCGACAGCAGCCCCACCCGAAATGGGAAGATTCATATCATGCAAATTTGGAAGTGCTTGACAAATAGTAAAGGGCACTATTTGTCCTTAATCTAGCATTACAGTTTGATTTCTGATTACTATTAAAAATAAATTTCTCTTGTATTTAACTTATTATATCTAATTGTGATTAAAAAATTCAATCAAAATTACTTAAAATACTAATGGTACCGCCGGAACCATCCTTACGGATATTACATCGAGGAGGTAGGGGTTTGTGTCGGGGGAGCACGCTAAACGAAGATAATGACGCTTTTATATAGGATCGGACAAGAAAAATTTGAGTTTCCCGCGCACGAGACAAGCAAGAGTTTACTCGAGTCAAATTGCGCACTACGCGTGTGGTTCCGGGAGCGCAGCAGCGCAGTCGGCCAGGGTGTGCAAGTATCCGAAGTACGGAGGCTGGGTTCCGGGGTCCCTGGAGGAAGTCTTCATGAAGAAAGAGCACTTCTTCGTTTCGCCCCACGGATGACACCAAGCCGCGAAAGCCCCACCACCATTGCTGACGCCGCAACGCCCACGCCAGTTCTTGGGGATCGACCTGAATTTTCCGAGCGCTTTGACGCACTTCTCGTTCCCTTTCCTTAAGTTCGTGTCACAGCAGTCGTCACGTACCGTCTCCATCAGCGAGGTTTTTACACTATTGTATTGGCGAATCTAAAATCGAAACGAAAAAACCGGTAAGGAAAAACCACATTCAAATACATCTGTAAACACTTTACGTCAAACGACGCCGTCATAAATTTTTTTTAAGTGTTTACAGCGATGCGTAGTGTGAATAAATACTAACTGCTCAGCCGATAGGAGCGTTTTTATTTCAACCTGCAGTCTGATTGTTGAAATTTTGTGTTTGTCGGGTCGACATAGATGGCGTAGGTTAAAAGGCGGAGCGTCATTGGTCGACCATACTGCCGTGCTAAGGAAAAACGCCGTATATGAACCGCCGCCGCCGCCGTTAATTTAATCATTTTACTTTATTTGGTTTAATTTGGCTTTAATTAAATGTTGAAATCATTTTACTTAAAATCTAAATTTAAATTTCTACATCTTTATATATTATTCGAGAGTTGCCAAATCTCCTTGGATAAAACGTGTAGTTTTGACGACATTCAAGCACATTTTTCTTTGGAATTCTCAGATGTTTTGTTATTTGGACGTATTTCTATCAAACGGACCTAAGCGCCATAGGGTGAGGAATGTAGAGGGGGGGGGGGCTTGGATTGTCGGGGGAATCGGGCGTCCGGCTTATTCCGTCCTATACTCGCAATGCTTTTCCATGGCGCTCAGGTCCGTTTGACAAAACGCGCTATCCGGGATTCTAAATTCCTCAAAAGGAACTCAAATTGGCGCTTAGTTCCGTTTGATAGAAATACGTCCGTTTGTTTGATGATTGTTAGCTTAAATTGCGGACAAAATTATCTGAAATTTTCAGAAAATAATATTTTCACTTTCCTCAAATAATTTCGGTTTTTATCGGAGGAAAGGCACAAAGGTACTCTAGATTGAGTGCCATACCGTCATTTTAGGATTTCCATCTCCCGCCTTCGTTATCATCCTCTGAAATTTTTCGATCGCACGGAAAGCACGAGCCCGCTTATCCTTGTCTTGGAGTTCCTGTGGGGGCATGATGAACAGAATGGAAGGGGGTTGCGATGCGAGCGACGACGGGGCAAGGGTACGGGATGAAGTCGAAGGCCCCGCTGCCCACGAGCTGCTAGCCTCCCCGAAGTTCCGCGAGCTGCTAGCTTCCCCGAAGTTCCGTGAGCTGCTAGCTTCCCCGAAGGTTTGCGATCCGCTTCGCCGTACGGGGTTCCAGGAGTCCGCTAAACTTGCCGCCCCCGACCTCGTGTGGCTGAGTACTGGGTCCAACCAGGAGTTGGAAAGCCCGAAAGGCATGCCGGCCCACCTCGGAGGGGACCTGCTACGGCGGTGACCCGGCGATTGCGGGCCCTCGATCTCGAGTAGAACCGTCAGGCAAACCACTGAAAAACAACCGTCGGACACACAGAAAGAAAAACTGACACATGGACCGCGTTCATCAGAAAGGAATCAAGCCACATCAGCTATTGCCATATTTAAGTAGGCAAGTCAATTTTTTACGAGCTAACGTTTATCCGGATTCCTTTGAAAATTTTAAGGAATTTGCTTCGTACTATGGAGAAAATTCACTGAAATTTGCATGAAAATCCGCCCAACCGTTTTCTTGGAAAAAAATTAATTTGCCCTTTTAAATTTGGCAATAGCTGATGTGGTCTGGTTCCTTTCTGTTCAACGCGGTCCACATTATCCTGCCGTGATAGCAAAGAGAGCAGTAACGGTCAAATTTTCGGGATCGAGTTTCCTTCAAAATTCGTCTAATCTCTTTTAGCTGAAGTCACTTAAAGAGCTAAAACGGGAAAATTCATCTTAATTTTTTTAAAACGAGACAAATGAGAGAGTCGTGATTGCGCAAAAAATGACAAAGTTTCAGGCAAGACAGCAGTAAGTGACAATATTCCTCCAGAGGACTAATGAAAACAGTGCTTTCAAGTAAAGTGCCGCCCTCTCCTGCCGATTTCTAACCTGAAAATGTGTTCGTTGTGTGTCCAAAACGCAACCACGAAAGCATGCAGTTGATAGCACTTACGGCTTGATTACCTGACAATAGCCTAGCATGAAAATGAAAAATACCCTTTTCATGTAATTAAAATAAAATCGGTCGATTTTCAATGAGCCAAACGATTTCTAGGAATCTTTCGGATGATTAGTGGCAATTTTACAGAGAACGGAAGCGTCTTTCAATAAAATTTCCCGGTCAGATGCTTCCAAATGAGTTTTCTCAAAACTTCATATTTGCACTTACTGCTCTCTTCGCTATCATGGCAGTATTTGTGTTCATAGATCTATAAATTACGCAACGCTGAGGATGGACCACTAGACGAGGTACGAAGTTAAGCATTCTGATACATGTTTCTTGACCAAAATTTTACGTAAAGCACGATTCGTGCAACGAAAATTACTGAAATTGGCTCAGCTCTAACAAATTGTTCACACTTTGAACAATGAAGGGTGGGAAATAAACAACGATCGATTGAGAAGCCTGCCAAAACCGATGTAGTGCGCGCTTTGACTCACGTAGAGCGAAACACAATACTCTGGCAATTCAAACTCCCCGTAACCAATGTAAAATTAAAACAGTAATATCCTAGTTAGTAGTTGATTTCAGTAATTTTTGATGCGAGAATCGTGTTTTACGTGAAATCCTGGCTTATAAATATGTATCAGAATGCTTAAATTCGGGCCTTGTATAGTAGTCCATTCCTCAAATGCTCAGGCAGACTTACGTAAATTGCCAACAAGGAACCAAGTTATCTGACTTACAGTTGTTTGGATAAGAACTTCTTAAGCATTACTATGCAGTTAGTCTAAAGAAGTAATGCTTTTTTATAGCAAGTATGTATTGCAATCTTGGGAAGAAAGAAACTATCAAAGTCACCACGGTTTATTAAAATTAAAAATTTTAACTAAAATATTCTCTTTATGAGACGCACAGGTAAAATTATACAACAGACAGGCCCTTTCCCATCAAAACATCTTGGTTCCTGTCTGCCACTTTCAATCAATAATGGATGGAGATGCATAGGAAGGGGCACAATTGAAGCGACATAGAGATCGAGAAACGGGAACCACTTTTTAAAAACTACCCACGCCGCAATTCAACTCCGTAATGATGTGTTTTCAATCTTTCTGTAGACTTTACCTTGAAACTGTGTAACCCGAATATGCAAAAATCTGTAAGTAAAGTGTTTCATCTGCTCAAAACCCACCGAAGAGGCTACCTCAAATGTAATCTTCCAAAAGACAAAGGGTTTCATAGAAAACCACCCTAAACGACTAAATACACTCCGAACACTTCTGAAGAGCGAGAAAGCTCTTCCAAACAGTTACCAATGCAAAATTGATTGGTCACCTTAACGTTATTAATTTTCATACTTTCAAATTGGGCGCAAAATTACGCCTGAAATTTAATTTGAAATTAACAAATTTTACCCCTAAAATGAACGCGACTGCAGTGTTTTTCGACCGAAGCTTTTATGCGCGTTTTATATTTTATGTCGAATTCGACGATGGGCTACAATTTGACTACACTTTTTTTGGTGACTCTTCAAAAGACGATAAGCGAGTTATTGAAACTACCGACACATAACTGAAGTTATAAATGGATATACAAACATATTTTTACAGATTTTTGCCTAAGACCGATAAGATTCTAGAGAACTATCCACTACTTTGAAAAAACTGTACCTAAAAACAATAACTTCACCGCGTTTTGAGGCATCATCACCTCGAACGAATCCGTCGGAGCCTGTCAGATGGACTGATTGAGTTCAAAACGCGAAAGGGTTTATGTACAAAGTATAGAAGGAGCACATGTAGAGGTGCAAAAAGTTGAGGTCGCTGTCCTTGAACGGGTGTGAACAAATAATGATGATAAAAAAAAGGAATGAACAATAGGAGGGTTCGACAATTGGGGAGAATGCCATACGTTGCCCCTAAAGTAAGTCGACTGGCGCAGTAATGTAGTTCTAATGTGAGCGCACTAATGTGAGTTCTTGGTAATCTCTATAATCATAGTTCCTCTGACGTAAGTGCGTATCTCAATTTCCACGTCAGCTCTGTCCTCCGTATGACAGTGGCGTGGCGTGAATTGCGATGTATCGATTGTAATGTCATTTAAACCTATGGTGAAGAATCGATTATTAAGGTGGTCGCTGCGAGCACCCTGTTTATCGATCCTTTTCCATAAGTTTAAATGGCATAACAATCGATTTATCGCAATTCACGCCACGCCACTGCAGAAAATTAGAGGAACGCGTAACGCAATAAGCTTGAGGCACGAAGCGCCTCTCGGGGTTGGACCTCGAAGCGGTCAGCGAGCGCAGCCCCCTTTGATAGTTTAAATACACCAGTATAACTGAGTAGCTTTCTCTAAGGAGCAAGAAGATCCTCATCGCGGGGGACACTGGGACCAGATACCAATCAGAACGTCTCTCATCGAACTCTCTGTAACTCTCCGTGATCAAAAGAACATAACGTCACTGCAAGATGTGCTCTGCCACCCGCTATACTCCTCGCTTTTCAGGGCTCACGAGAAAATGCACCGACGTTCCTTTTGTCCGAAAGCTCAAAAGCTCTGGGTTTGCCCGGAGCTTTTGAACTTTCGCGCCCGCATTTTCAACTTCGCCCCAGGGTCAACAAACGCCGGAGGACGGTCCAATCACTCCCAACTTCGGAGCCCCTCACCCCGCGCGCTCCTATAAAAAACCTGGAAGAAGGATTATTGAAAGTTATGATCAGAAAGCACCGGATGAACTCATTTTGCACGTATTTATGCTAAAAGGAACTACAATGTGCATAGGGATTGTGTGTGACATAGTTCTTTTTAGCATTAATACGCGTCCTTTTGAGCCACGTTGCGTGGCGCTAACGACGTATTTACGCGCGCAAGGAAGCGTTAGAGTAAACAGTCACATCGTAGTAACTTCCTTTTCTCGTCAAAACAGTNNNGGGGGGGGGGGGGGGGATCCTCACTCAAAGTTGACGTATTTACACTGAAAAAAAGTATGGTTGTGCAAATTGTGTTCTACGTATTTTGGTTAAGAAACATGTACCAGAATGCTTAACTTCGTACCTTGTCTAGTAGTCCATTCTAGACATCATGCGGCCATAACTCATCTTTGAGACGACAAATTAGGGGCACGAGGAAAGCTCGTCAACGAACAAGGACCCGGAGACGAGAGTAGACGAACTTTACTGCCGTGCTTAGTAAAACCGCCGTATGAGCCTCCAAGCGTAGCCAAATTTCTTCTGATATAACAGGAGTTTTCGAGAAAACCTGACGGTGTTTTTCCTTCGATTTTTCAGAGAATTTAATTCGCAATTTTATTTTCAGTATCCGTAAAATTTCAGAGAGAGATATTTATAAATTTCCTAAAATATAATTTTTTTTGAAGGGAAAGTGGGCAACATCCGGATGCTCATACGGTGATTTTCATTTCAATAGAAACAACTCGAGAAGTCGCGGGAATCAGAGTTGCTATCAAAACAGTTTCATCCGGTCGCAGTTTTACTATTCAAGTGTCCGCGGTCCTACGCTTGAGAACCTCCCGTTTCCTTTGAAGGGCCAATCAACGCTCACGAGAACTCGAATCGCTGCAGAATAGTTTTGCCGCGATAACTAAGAGCCGCATAAGTGCAATGCTGGCCTAATGCGCACTTACGCGATTTTTACCCGATGGGAGTATGGGGCGGAAGTTGAACCTGCTGGCGTAGTCATTTTATTACTTTTGACGAAGTGAATTGCGAGCCGACTGACGAGACCCTGTTGCCAGGCTGCCAAGTTTCAGTCGCGTAAAAGTCCGTGCGACTGAAAAATTCCCTAGAACGCCTATAGGAATATCTTGTTAAAATGTCCTCTTTTAATTTCTATAGTAAGAATGTCATTACGGGAATTCCTTAATCTGTATTAGAAATTCGATAAGGAAATTAGGAACAGGAACATATTACTCCGTGTATGAATGAAGTAGGTATCTAAAATTGTGGTACTACCCCTATTTGTTGGATGATACTTTCAAATAATTGTGGAAGTACCGCAACATTTGGCTTAGTAACCTAATTCATTGGGGTAGCATAATTAATTGGGGCACGACCACAATTTATTAGAATGTCTATATCATCCAACAGCACCTTGCTCTTTTTTTCTGTGTTAGTTGTCCATTCTGACAGGTTTATATAGTATTTACAATTGTGTTATAATTTTGTGAATAATATCTCAGATTTATCATCATATTATGAATAAAATTTAAAATTCATTATCATGTTTTTGCTAATATTTCCATTAAGAAAGAAGAAAAAAACTAATCATAAATACTGTGAACAAATTATCCAAATGAAATATGGAATAGTGTTCCCTGTTTCTTCCTTTTTACCTACTAAAATCTAGAAATTGCAAATTCTCTAGGAGCCAGCATACACTGGAAAAAAACACATTGGGTCTAGAGTCCAGACTCTTGAAAACATCGACAAGAAAAAGGACTCTTGATTCAATCAGATTTAAGCTTAAATCAAAAGGAAATCCGCTCAAATTAAGAAGCTTGGTTCTTGATTTAAGCTTAAATCTGATTGAATCAAGAGTATCTTTTCTTGTCGATGTTTTTAAGAGTCTGGACTCTAGATCCAATGTGATTTTTTTTTCCAGTGCACTCAAACGCGTAATGTAATAAACACGTAAGCTCCCTAAAATTGGATTGATGGGAGTCACTAAAACTCAGCTCTTGAAAGAAGGCGAACCCAGTTCCCTACGACTCAGAGTTGATCGAGTCAGATGGAGAGGTCGGACATTAAATTGTTGACTAATGCTGGGAAGTTGAATGTTTATTCCGTCGCATTTTAAATTTCAAGGGGTGCTTCAAGAAGAAAATTTCCGGGAAAACCAATGGAATTACTTTTAGAATCTCAAAGTTTTGTATAAACGGAGTACAAAGCGTTTAAAGTTTCCAAATTTCGTCCGACCTTCCTTATTGACCCGATCCTCTGTGCGGCTTCTCTCTTCAATCACCGAAAAATCCAAGAAGTTCACTCTCCAACGCAAGACCCTAACCTAACCGCGGTTTGCTAGAGTACCTATATTGAGAGAGTATGGCCACTGGGGTTACCACCTCTGATTGGCTCAGCCATCTTAGGCTAAATGGAGCCCTTAGGACCCAAAAATGGCGGACGCCATAAATTAATGTAATGCAAAATGACTCAAAATGTAGTTTTCTTTGCTTATCGTAACGAGAAATTTACTCAAGTGCACTATTGCGACATCCTTACATAATTTTAAGGCTAATCGTGTGCAATTTTTGAGAAAAATTATCTTAGATGTAGTAAGGTTGGCAGCCTGTCACGGTTCGTTTCAGAGGAAGGTAAATGAAATTGTGTTGCCCACTCAAAATTCCTTCGGGATCTTAAAGTAGGATGCTTACACAGTCATTTAAGCCTAAAATGAAAATATTCTGTCGAGCTCTTCGAAAATAAAATCGATTTTTGTGTTTTTGGCGCTAAAATGGCCTTCAAAGACGATCGATGATTCAATTCCAATGGGTTGTGCATATGTAAAATGGTACATGTATGATGGGCTCTACGTATTTTTGGACCAGGAATCGATTGAGCAGGGTCCTGAATCGGTCCGAAGCCTCATTGACTGAAAAATGGGCCTTTTTTGGATTTTAGGGGTGTTTTGGGCCCATTTTCCCCCAATTTTGGCGTGAAAAAACCTGTGCCATCATGGGTAATGATTATCGGGTCATTTCGGGCGGACCATCGAATGCACTTGGTCCCGAGACACTCCGGGGCTTCCGGAGTGATACAGGGTTTTCGAGATACAGGGGATCAAAGTCCCCGATTTTCACTCAATTCTGCAGGTATTTTAATGTTCAATTCCGACTATGATCTCTGATTTAGATATCGAAGCGCATTTTGCGGTGGTTGATTCAGCTAGTGAGGGTTTGTGAAATATGTAGAAAAATCCACCACACGTAGCTGAATCAACCACCGCAAAATGCGCTTCGATATCTAAATCAGAGATCAATTTATAGTCGGAATTGAACATTAAAACAAGTTGGTTTTTGCAATCGCTAGCGATAGCAATATTCGTCATGGGAACTTTTGCTTCTGGGATATGAAAATTTTAAGGTACAGTTCGTTAGTAGTATCTTCAGAATTGAAGGGGCTATGTAATTTTGTGTCGACATCTCTTTTTTAACATTTTTAATTTTTTTTCTTTGCATACAAGAAAGCTGTTATTTACCAATTATTTATTTTCGTTGGATTATGTATGGTTTTTGGAAGCTAACGCATTTAACTTTCAGTTTCGTTTTTTCGGCGTAAAGTATGATATTTTTACTCTACGCATATGCCCGAATACGCATCATAACGACGGTGAAACTACCAAACCACGTATCTCGTTTGCGGTGTTTAAAAATCTCCGCTCACATTTTATTTTTTTGAAGTAGACCAAATCAATATCATTCCTTGAAATTTTCACAGAATTTTCTCCGCACGAAGAGGAAAAATCACGGAAATTTTCAAGACTGGACGTTAAGTAGCTTTTCATTTAAAAAATAAAGTATGACAGGAAGTCTGCGACGTCGCAAACCGAGATACGTGGTTTGGTAGTTTCACCGTCGATAAGTGACCTATGTGCTTCCTAAGTTGCCATTTTTTTCATTCAAATAGATGTAACCGAAATGTTAGATGTGTACTACCTATACTACTTTCATGTCATTGCTTTATTTATTTATTTACTTTTTGCGTGGGTATAAATTGTTATTTTTTGCTGAGTTTTGGAGAAAATATTGCTTTAAGAACGTGGAAAGTAAATTAGTTTTATTGAAAAAAGAAAATACCATCATTAATTTGGGCGAACAGAGAAAATATACATCAATATTTGGGTCAACATCTCCCTGATTATATAAAGGATGAATATATTAGTATTTCTGTATCAAAAAAC